CCAGTCAGTCAAGTACAGCATGGAAAGCATCATCACCGGCAGCAGTAGCAGCAGTAACAACAATACAGGTGGACCGACGGCTGCATGGCCCCTATTTAGGCTTAGATATCGGAAATGGACAGTAGGAGGACTATTTGATGAAAGACGATTCTCCTATGTATGAAAAGTGCAAGTAACTTGAGATAGTCAAAGAAATATTAGAAGATTAGGCTCTGCAACCCAAATTCATTAAATAACACGAATAAATATTGAGCGGTTTTACACCAGAAAATGTTAAAAGACTATTTCCACAAGTATAACATTAACATTCTTAACACTTATGTCAGGAAAGTCCATAGCCAACCTAAACAAACAAACACAGGTACAACAACATACTTTAGACTATGGGATTTATAGCTGATTTAAACGTTATAATACAGTATATGAGGGATCTAACAGCAGCAATGGCCGGTGCGTCTCCCCACGCATCTATCACCATGTGGCCGCGTGCATCCCTGTGCATCTCTTCATATTCATCCACTGAAGTTGGGTAGAGGAAGTGTCTATGAGGGAGGGGAATGTGAAACCGAACATGCAGATGGCAGTTATTCTTTTCTTGCATTGCCTTCGCACATTTTCTTTCACCACTGTGTTTAAAGATGTTACAAAGCCAGATGCTATATGTTAGGGTATCTATTATGAATGAGAAAAGGGATTTCTCTCCATGTAGGGGCTTTCACAACTCACTAATCTGAAGGATGCAGATATTTTATTCACGACCAGTTCAGTCCCTATTATGGGATTCAGCTCTTCATCTCCCGAAATCGTGTTTGACAGCTTTATAACGCGCAGGCGTGCGTTCGCATCTTATCCACTTTGGCATCTTTCGGAAAATTGTAAGATATACGACTGATGGGAAGCAGTTCGTCACCTCATCTCTCCCTGAACCCCTCACATCTACGTTTTGGGGAAAAGTTGACTCTGCATTCTGGATGCATGTGTTCACAAATCAGCGAGCGAAATCTGTGGTTACGGCTTGTAACGAAGGTTACACAGCGGCTGGGACTGAAAGTTGAGACATACCTGCTGCCAATTTTCCTCCAGCGAAGGCATGGCAGAGAAGTAGCCGGTGTCGTGTACGAGCTGAAGTTCCTGAAAGATACTGTGGTTCGCCAAGACATCCATGCTGACTGTCGTTGATGGAAAACAAGAACGATCCACAAGAATTATGCCTCCTTTCTTGACTGTCAGACCTCTACATCCACTTATTTCATATTAGTCCATAAAAGGACATTAGTTGCACAGTACAGCGGCAGGAAATGTGGCATTTAAGGTCCCTATACCTGCGCGCATTATTGGACACGGTGCGTAAAAGAGAGCGGAGGTGATGGAGGCTCCATGCGTATCGGTGTTGCCAAAATAGACACTGATAGGGACCTAAAGGAGGGGAGGGGCTTACTAAACGAAAGGGCGTCGTTTAGTTTGTCAATCAATTCCCCTGCTTGTCCATTTAAGGCAAATGGGCGGTTGAGGTGTCATTAGAGCAGCGGCGGAGCGTGGAGAGGCGGGGTTAAGAGGGTTTAGCCGGCGGGATTGGCTCCGGTGCTCCGTCACTCATGCCAAATATGGGCTCAATAGGTGAGCTATTTATGGATGGCTATATTAGATTTGGAAGAATGTCTGAAAGGCTAGTCTGAGAGGAGACGCCGTGTGGTAAACATCATTTGACCACAAACAGGAGCTGGAAAACAGTATTGAAAGGCTGCTACGTTGTTCCACGGTCTAAATATTTAACCATAATGAGATGTACGATGATGCATTAGGCTATAAGAAATATATTCCTGTATAGGGACTCACAGTACTCTTTAATAATGAGTTTAAAGTACACTCATCATACTTAATATTATTTCAGTCTCTTGTAACAGCACCATATACTGTTGGAGTGTAGAAACTGTTATTAAATGCTCTGTATTTAATATTAGAGTAGCTCTATAATCCAGTAAGAGGTCCCTTACAAGTTGTTCACTGAGGTTAAAAGTTGTCATAAGCATAAACATTTCTAATCATAATATGTGACGGTTAGAGACCTGATAATAATCAGTCGATGCAGATCAGATGCTGTAAGCAAAGGGGGGTGAAACATCAGAATGATAAATAAGAAGCCAAATCTTCTGTGCTACTTCTTGTTGGCTGTGAGTAATACCTCTTATTTACTTGCCTCGTGTAAGCCATCAAACCTGTACACTTCCATGCAGGCTCAGTAGTATTCTCTCACTGTTTCACACACAGAGTATTGTAGTGGTCTGTAAGCTCATTACAGTGCAAGGGGGAGGCAAGCTGAGGGTCCCAGCTATGCGATTTTACGCATGGCATTTTGGGAGAGGGAGCTCAGCTCAGACGGACGATGAAGCTCCCGCTGACATTTATCCATTTGACACAACTCATTTTGCCTCTCTTTCCTTTTTCTTCTTATTTTTCCCAGTCTCCTCTCTGTCTCCTGCCTCTTGTTTTCTCTTTTCTTCCGGCCTCTTACTCTTAATGCCTGCCCCCTTTATTTCTCATCTTTCTTTCTCTCTCTGTGGCACTTTCCTTACTATCCCTCACGTCTTCTGTGTAAATCGGCAACATAGTCTGTATTTCACTATCTGTGTTTTCATCAGGCTAGACAGACCATGGGAAGAGGTTTCTTCCATTAAAGCGAGTTTTTTCTCCCCACTGTCACCAAGTGTACGCTCAAGGGGGATTTGATGGGTTTTTCCTCTATAATATTAGTAATAGTAAGATCTGGAACTTAATTTGTAATGTGTCCTGAGATGACTTTTGTTGTGATTTGGTGCTATACATATAAAACTGAATTGAATTTGAAGGACAGAGACATAAATTTAGATCTCAACGGTTGCCATGTTCTTTGCAGCAGTAGGTCAACTGATTTACAAAAAAATGTCCAGTTTAGCAAATCTTTGCATGGCTGACTGGAGTGTAAGATATTTAAGAGATACATCCTGTTACTTTTATGCATTGTTCACCAAGTCCTTTGGGTTATAGAAAAGGGTGTTTATTCTCTGCTAACTGAAACCAGTTAAAGCAAATTAACAACAGTAACTTTCCAAAACTATCATGTGACGTGATTGTTCTTGGTTATGTACTATGCATTCAAACTATGACAAACATGGAGGGCAATAGGGTCATATAACTGACATTTCAGAAATAGTGAAATCAGGAACCTTTTTCTAATTTTTAGCTGATAAAAGATACAAGGTTTGTTCTAATTGTTACTACTTCATTGTCTAAATGCTCTGTCAAAACCCTCTCCACCACACCAAAAATAATTCTAGCAAAGAAATGCAACATTCTTATATTTAAACAATATTGTTGAGCCTAAAACTGTGAAATGTAGAATTTACTCTAATACTCTAATAAAGTATAGGATTCAACCATTAAAACCTCACTGTTTGTAAGGACTGTGTAATTATAGAATCTAAACTCTTCCTCAGGTTGTGAAAACCCTGAATACTGCCCAGGATGAAGCAATCCAAGGACATGACCTTGGCATTGTTAGTGGCAGCTACAGCCCTGATGGTAAATCACAATTATTTCTGTTATACAGTGAAAATGTCAGCTGACCATCATCTTCAATACACTGCCTTTTGACTTTTACCACAGTCCATTGTTCAGAAAGTGAAATGTTACAGAAAAACCCCAAGAAAACATTCACAATTGCCTGCTTTTAAAAGACATTACATCAACCTCTGCTATCTGCTTCATGAATAGCTGACAAATATGACTTAAAACATTTATGATTGTAGCTACTTACAAATTTCAAAGTATAAATCATATAGTTACAGAAGGAATACCGTGAAGTATGCCTATGCCATACAATACAACATTTTTAAGATGACTACAATATCATTGGTACTTTGTCTCCATTTTGTGCAGCAATCTTCCTATTGGAACTAATCCAGTGTTTTTTATTTTGTCAGCCTTTCTTAAGCATCACATCTGTTTCAAGCAAAGTCCTGAAACTGGTGAAACTGCACATTTACTTGATTCTTCAAGTTGCTGAAATTATTTGTTTTGCAGAGTACCACCCTGTGACCATCACCAGAAATGAGCAAAACCAAAAGCCTCATCTTAGTGCCCTTTCTGAGACAGGTACCCCCACCATCTCCTACTCTTCCTCCTCAGCCTGAAGCCCATGCATATCATAGATAAAAAATAAGTGCTCACTATTATCCGTGGGCACAGAGCGTTATATTGTGGATGCTGACATTGCTCTTACCTGGCAGTTGATGCTTTTACTATATTAATAATGGAGCAGGTACCATCCATCATGGGGATATGAGGCTGCTAATCATGTCAGCTCCCTGCATATTCACTCCCTTCATCAAAAGGGGAGGAGCAGTAGTAGGAGAGAGGCAGAGGAAGACAGAGGGAGAAGGAGGAAAAGCAGGAGAGTGACGGTGAGAAGCAGAGATAAACACAGCGAGCAAAAATGATGAAGGGGGGGAGGAAGATGAAAGTGGACAATATCAATGTGCTGAACACATGACAGATGCCCTTGGCCTTTTGCTGAATGGTTTCCCTGTTGGCAGGAGTTAACCAGTGTATTTAAACAGAACAAGACGAATGGGACCTCTACTCCCTCTGCTCACTGAACCAGCCAGTTCCTATTCCAACTCACAGCCGTGCGGGAATGCTAATATGGTTAGCTGACATTGCCAGGGTTAAAACTTCATAATGGTATTTTATTGTAATATTCACTTGAACTTTCCTAGTTTTCAAACCCTTTCTGAGGAATTTCTGTTGAGCAGGGAAGGAGTTTACTAGTATCTGTGCTGCTTGAAACGTTGCATAAACAAACAAAAAAGGCATTTCATTTCATTATGAGCATTAGAAGATTGGTATATTAAAGAAAAATCTTTCTGTGATTATTTCTCCTGTTTTGACAGCAGTTTCACTTGATTTGAGAAAAAAAGAGATCATTCTACTTTAAAATCACAACTGAGTTTCCACATTTCCTGAAAAACAAGTTGATTTGCATTGAAAATAGCACCTGATGTTTGCAGCAACACACTCACCAGTTCCCCAGTTTACCCCTCTACCCATTAGTCTCCTGCAACCGAGGGACCTTGAGTGTCGGTGCTTTGCTTTGCTTCATTTTGCCTCATTTGGTGTAATATGACATCCACATGCCCAGATGTGTTTGAGCATAAGATTTTCAAAAATACACAGCATTTTCTTCCAGTTCAGATTGCCTCAGTGGAATATTATGTTAACCTTCATATTTAGAGAAAGCCACACAAATTTGCTTCCAGCAGTCATCCTCAAACGTGCCTTTTTCCTGGCCTTCAGGACAGAAAAGGAAATTGCTCATGATTGATGGACCTAGTTAAATAAAGATAAGATTTTGAAAACGTGGCCATATGTCTGCCGTATGCACTGTCTCATTTGGCTCAGAGCCTGGATGCAGAACATCTTCAATATCCTGATGTGTTCTCACCGCTGCTCTTCCATAGGGGAGGAACCAGGGGACTGCGGAGAAGGTGGAGGTGGCTGACAAGTAGGGGTGGGTTTCAACGCATCAGGCTGACTTAGAGAAGTGATAATGAGCGCGTGGGGCTGTCTCATGTGCAAACTTCTTTCCTTGCAAGATAGCTGCAAGGGAAGGGAACAGAGTACTTGGGGGTGGGGGGTGGGGGGTTAAAGGGTGCATACGAAAGTGCCCTCTCAGCTGGGGGATGTTTGATACAGTGCTGCTGCTTCCTACGCCGGGAAAAAAGTAAGCGGAAACACAGCCAGCGAGGAGGGCATGAGGGGCAGCTGTTAAGTGGCAATTAGATGACAATGAGTGGGAGATGGAAATACCCATTTGCACACACATTCCTGCAAACAGGCAGGGAGGAGCAGTCAAAAAGTGAAACAAATAGGGCCTAATTCCTGTCAGTTTTCCTGGAGTTGCTCTCCTTCGCTCCCTCTATCTCCACTCCCGCCTGACGCATAACATCACACCAGTCTCAGCTGAAAATGTGGGATGATTGGCTCTTCAATTTAGTACTGTCTCAATACGGTCTCAGCTTCTTCTGAAGGCCAACTGAAAGGGGCATTTGTAGGGGCTTGTCACATTATGCCACAGGATAATGCCCTGTGTCAGGCATCCAATTAGTGACTCACAGATTTAGTTCATGACAGAAAAAGATAAGGTAGAATGAGAAAAATAGAGCCATTTTTGGAGCTTGTTTTCAGTCATAGATGAGGTATTCAAAAGGAACCATAAAATCAGGGTCTTTGTCAGTGGGCCAGTAGGCGTATGTGGAGGTGTGCATGTTTTAGTCATGTTTTTGCACATCTGTTGGTGTCTACAGGTTTTGTTTGTGTGCACATCTCATGTACACCTGCTCATGTGGGTGACAGCAT